ATTGCTTTCCTGAATTGAATGCCACTTCGTCACAGGATATGATATGTGTTACAGGATTCTCTTTTCCAATATGTTGGTGAGGTGTTTTCTGTTGAAATTTAAAGGAGATATTCATGTACAGTATTTTAATAGAATCTCACATTATCTAGTACAGGATATAGTGCGTGTGTGTATATATACACATATACATGTACATATGCTGCATTTGTATATAGTATATAGTTTAGTTATGGTAGGTAATTGGTAAATATTACATGTAACATGTATATAAGTGCCACATGTAAATGGTATTAGACTATATAGCATTATAGTGTTATAGTGTAAACTTACATACTTTTATCCTCCATAGCATAGTGAGTTTCATTTCCTTATTAGCCTGCAGACTACACCAGTCTCATCCTCATCTGGGAACAAAGGAGAACCTCACCCTCTTGTTGCTACAGAATGTGCCACCCAAAAATATTCATGATCTTAGGTTTAGGAAGAAGATTCTATAATATGACAAGAGAAACACTAGGAACAAAGAAAAAGTATGTAATTTTGACTACATTAAAATTTAAGCTTTTCTGTTTTGAAAGACACAATGAAGAAATACAGGAGTATGGTCAAGGTTAGTGGCTCACATTTGGAATCCCAGAACTTAGAAGGCTGAGGTAAGGGGATCTCTTGAGCCCAGGAGTTTAAGACCAACCTGGGAAACATAGTGAGACCGTGTCTCTACAAAAAATTTAAAAAATAACCCAGGTGTGGTGGCATGCTCCAGTGAGCCCAGGTACTCAGAAGGCTGTGGTGGGAGGATTGCTTGACCCTGGAGGTTGAGTCTGCAGTGAGCTGTGATTGCACTACTGCACTCCAGTCTGGATGATGGAGTGAGACTCTTAGAGAATTTAAAAAAAAAAAAAGAAGAAGAAAGAAATACAAGAGTATAGGGTCTTGCCACTCAGAAGGCAGCTGATCTTAGCAGCTGAGCAGATTCAGGCCTGGTTACTTCATGGTTTGTAGAATGCATGAGAATACTGCTTGCTATAGGCTTTTCTTAAAAAAAAAAAAAAAGAAGAAGAAGAAGAAGAAAAAAGAAATTGCAAAGAGTATTCACCAAATGGAAGAAAAACTTGAAAAGTCTACACCTGGTCCTCACATATATCCGTATCAGTTGGAACCCAGTCTCCTTTATGACACAAGGTTAGGGCTGAATTGGCAGACAGGACTCCCAGGCACTGTGTCCCATCACTGCAGGAGGTGAGCTCCACTGTGGAACACTGTCTGGGTAATGGTGTATCCACAGTCTGCCATCTCACCCAGTTTATGGAGTGACAACAAGGAGTGGTCATGAGGAGAGAAGTCTGACCCAGAGTTTTGGATTTGTGAGTGGGAGATACTCTCAGAACACCCTCCTTCCTTCCCACAGGGAGACAGCATATTATCCCCTATGCATTCCAGACTTGTGAAGCAGGGTTTCAGGTCTAAGTCCCTGTCTCTTGTAAAAAGAGACTGTACTGAAATCAAGTTAAAAATGTCAAAGAAGGCTTTATTCAGGACAGTTGTGATGTGGGTCATGAGAACTGTGATATGGGAGAGAGATTGACCTCAGCCTTGCATGCAGCAACAACAGTATTGAACCTAGAGCTCAAGGGTAAAATGAGGGAGAGGATGGAACTTGGTGAGGTATCAAGGGTTACAGAAGAGAAAGTGGATGAGTTTTCATGAATAGGGGTAACAGAACTTCAGTGGGTATCCAGTTTGGAGGGGCTGGGGTGGGGATTCTCTGAACTCCCTTAGAAGGATCTTTGCTATAACTGGGCTTTGTAGGACAAGGTCAAAGCCTTGTCAGAGAGAGAGTCCTTGAGACCCCCACAGCTACCTTTTCATGGGGATGACAACAAATCCTTAAATTTCTGATTCCTTTCCCGCATTCCAAAGCACCCACTTCCCCTCTCTAATCGACATCTTCATCAGTGTGTCCACCGTGATACATTTGAAAGAGCTGTAGTATTTTGTTTTTCATTTTTCCACAGATCCATCAATGATTGCATTGGAAACTTTTCTCTTTTGTTTATGAACACTTTTCGTGAGAGGAAAGCACTCAATAACCACCTGAAACTTTGTTGTGTAAAATACTTAGGCCAGGCAGGGTGCGGTGGCTCACGCCTGTAATCCCAGCACTTTGGGAGGCCAAGGCAGGCGGATCACCTGAACCCCATCTCTACTAAAAATACAAAATTAGCCAGGCGTGGTGGCGTGTGCCTGTAATCCCAGCTACTTGGGAGGCTTAGACAGGAGAATCGCTTGAAGCCGGGAGGCGGAGGTTGCAGTGAGCTGAGAGCGCGCCATTGCACTCCAGTTCGGGCAACAAGAGTGAAACTCCATCTGAGAAAAAAAAAAAAAAGAAAGAAAATACTAATGCCCAATGATTCCTGATATTGAACCCTTTTTCATGTGCTTACTTGTCACTTGTATGTATCTTTGAGAAATGTCATTGAAATACTTTGCCCATCTTTTAATCAATTAGGTTTTTACTTGGCACAGTATTTTATTAATTTAAATTATTATAAAGTAAAAAACAAATTTTACCAGCTTATGCAATTTTAACTGTACAGTTGATTTAGTTAGACAACTCTACATAACTTATCTAAGTGAATCATACTGTACTTTTCTTTTTGTGACTACCTTGGCTATTAGCATAGCATCCTGAATTTTCATGCTTGTTGTAACAAGGGACAGGTTGTTATTTTCAAAGGTTAAATAATATTCCATTGCGCATATATATATATATATATATATATATATATATATATCTCACATTTTTGTTATGCATTCAGCCATCAGTGAATGGACAAGTGGATTGATGCAGCTCTTGGCTTTTTTTTTTTTTTTTTGAGACTAAGTTTTGCTTTGTCGCTAGCCTGGAGTGCAGTGGTGCGATCTCAGCTCACTGCAACCTCCGACTCACTTGTTCAAGCATTTCTCCTGCCTCAGCCTCTTGAGTAGCTGGGAATACAGGCATATGCCACCACCACCACACCAGCTAATTTTTGTATTTTTAGAAGAGAAGGGGTTTCACTATGTTGGCCAGGATGGTCTCGATCTCCTGACCTTGTGATCCACCCGCCTTGGCCTCCCAAAGTTGGCTATTATTAACAGTGGTTTTCAAATGTGTCTTCAAGATCTGGATTTCACTTTTTTTTTTTTTAATTGAAAATAAGTAGGCCGGGCACGGTGGCTCAAGCCTATAATCCCAGCACTTTGGGAGGCCGAGACAGGTGGATCACGAGGTCAGGAGATCGAGACCATCCTGGCTAACACGGTGAAACCCCGTCTTACTAAAAATAAAAAAAAAAAAATTAGCCGGGCGTGGTGGCGGGCACCTGTAGTCCCAGCTACTCGGGAGGCTGAGGCAGGAGAATGGCGTAAACCCGGGAGGCGGAGCTTGCAGTGAGCTGAGATCCGGCCACTGTACTCCAGCCTGGGTGACAGAGCGAGACTCTGTTTCAAAAAAAAAAAAAAAAAGAAAGAAAATAAGTAGACACAAAAGTGGGTTGCTAAAAGATATGTTAATTTTGGCCGGGTGCATTGGCTCACGCCTGTAATCCCAACACTTTGGGAGGCCGAGACGGGTGGATCACGAGGTCAGGAGTTCAAAACTAGCCTGGCCAAGATGGTGAAGCCCTGTCTCTACTAAAAACAATACAAAAATTAACCAGGCGTGGTGGCGGACACCTGTAATCCCAGCCACCCAGGAGGCTGAGGCAGAGAATTGCTTGAACCTGGGAGGCTGAGGTTGCAGTGAGCCGAGATTGCGCCACTGCACTCCAGTCTGGGTGACAGAGTGAGACTCTATCTCAAAAAAAAAAAAAATAGATATGGTAATTATATTATTTTTTCAGGTACCATCATACTATTTCATAGGGGCTGAGCCATTTATCATCCTTTGGACAGAGCACATGGGGTTCATTTTCTCTCTTGATGGTGTTCTCTCACACCATTTCTTTTTATTTATTTATTTATTTTGTTTTTGAGACAGAGTCTAGTTCTGTCACCCAGGCTGGAATGCAGTGGCACCATCTCGGCTCACTGTAACCTCCACCTCCCAAGTTCAAGTGATTCTCCTGCCTCAGCCTCCTGAGTAGCTGGATTACAGGCGTCCACCACCATGCCCAGCTAATTTTTGTATTTTTAGTAGAGACAGGGTTTCACTATGTTGGCCAGGGTAATCTCAAACTCCTGACCTTGTGATCTGCCTGCCTTAGCCTCTCAAAGTGCTGGGATTACAGGCGTGAGCCACTGCGCCCGGACACTCTCACACCATTTCACACAAAAGTTTTTACATTTGATAAATATTTGCCTTTTTGTTGACACTAGACACCCTGGAGTTTTTGCCTCTCAGTCTTGTTCCCGTTCAACCTTCAGCAATTCATCAATTGTAATTCAGGCTTTTCTACCCAAGCACAGTTTCCAAGAAAGGTTTCTGCTCTTGATTTTTGTTTTAGTTAGTTACGACTTTCATCAGTCTGATTGGTAGGGACTCTGCCAGGCAGGGTGGCTCATATCTATAATCCCAGCACTTTGGGAGGCCGAGGCTGGCGGATCACTTGTGGTCAGGAGTTCGAGACCAGTCTGTCCAACATGGTGAAACCCCGTCTCTACTAAAAATACAAAAATTAGCTGGGCATGGTGGCAGGCACCTGTAATCACAGCTGCTTGGGAGACTGAAGCGTGAGAATCACTGGAACCCGCGAGGCGGAGGTTGCAATGAGCCAGATCATGCCGCTGCACTCCAGCCTGGATGACAGAGTGAGACTCTGTCCAAAAAATAATAATAATTAAAAAAAAATTTTCTTTATGGAAGAGAGTGAGTGTTGATAGAGTAAAAAGTCTGATGACTAAATCATGGAATAAATGTTTAGAGTCCATAGCACCATGGGAACTCTGTAGGAATAGAGTATAGGAACCCAGTGCTGTCAGTCTCACCCATGTTTCTTTACACATGTGGAATGTTTCAGGATTCAGTGGCCTTTGAGGATGTAGATGTGAACTTCACCCAGGATGAGTGGGCTTTGCTGGATCCTTCCCAGAAGAATCTCTACAGAGATGTGATGCAGGAAACCTTCAGGAACCTGGCTTCTGTAGGTAAGGATAACAATATTACTTTCCTCAGTGAATTAGAGAACAAGTGTTTCTAGCTTGTGAGTAGTGTTGAGTGATTTGGAGTGTGGACAGGGAATAGGAATATGAATAAATGTGACAAGGCTGCAGTGTACCATGAACTTAGAATCTAGTACTTTTTTCATAATTTTACTAATTCAGGACTATTTTTCTGGTTCTGTATTTTAGGAAAAAAATGGAAAGATCAGAAAATTGAAGATGAGTACAAAAATTCCAGGAGAAACCTAAGGTAATTCGCGCTCACAAGAAAAAGCAGTGTCTCTCTAGACAATCATAGAATGGAAGAAAATGTTAAAAAGAAGCAAACAAGAAATAAGCCAAGGCCGGGTACGGTGGCTCACGCCTGTAATCCCAGCACTTTGGGAGGCTGAGACAGGCGGATCACGAGGTCAGGAGATCAAGACCATCCTGGCTAACACGGTGAAACCCCGTCTCTACTAAAAATAAAAAAAAATTAGCCCGGTGTGGTGGCGGGCGCCTGTAGTCCCAGCTACTCGGAAGGCTGAGGCCGGAGAATGGCATGAACCTGGAAGGCGGAGCTTGCAGTGAGCCGAGATCGCGCCACGCACTCCAGCCTGGGCGACAGAGTGAAATTCCGTCTCAAAAAAAAAAAGAAAGAAGCCAAGTTCCACTGTATTTATTCTTATAAAATTTTCTCTAGGACCGGGCATAGTGGCTCATGCCTGTAATCCCAGCACTTTGGGAGGCCGAGGCAGGGGGATCACGAGGTCAGGAGATCGAGACCATCCTGGCTAATGTGGTGAAACCCTGTCTCTACTAAAAATACAAAAAAATTAGCCGGGCGAGGTGGCAGGCGCCTGTAGTCCCAGTTACTTGGAGGCTGAGGCAGGAGAATGGCGTGAACCCGGGAGGCGGAGCTTACAGTGACCCGAGATTGCACCACTGCACTCCATCCGGGGCGACTGAGCGAGACTCCATCTCAAAAAAAAAAAAATTCTCTAAAAACATATTTAAGTGTGACACAGGCTGAACATCATGGCTCAAGCCAGCCCTTTGGGAGGTTCAGGTCAGAGATTGCTTGAGCTGAAGAGTTTGAGGCTACACTCGGCCATGATAGCACCATTACACTCTAGCCTGGGTTAAAGGGCAAGACCCTGACTCAAAAGCAATAAAATTGACAAAGACGGTTAGTACTTGTAAAAGAGTTTACCTGAAAATAGTGTTGGCAGGGCCCAGGTGCATGCCTGTAATCCTAACACTTTAAGAGGCTGAGGTGGGCGGATTGCTTGAGTCTAGGAGTTTGAGACCAGTCAGGGAAATGTGACAAAACCCCATCTCTAGCAAATATTCAAAAACTAGCCGGGCATGATGGTGTATACTTGCAGCCTCAGCTAATCAGGAGGCTGAAGTGGCAGGATGGCTTCAGATAGGGAGATGGAGGTTGCAGTGAGCTGAGATCTCACAACCGCACTCCAGCCTGGATAACAGAGTGAGACCCTGTTTTAAAAAGTGTTGGCCGGGCGCGGTGGCTCAAGCCTGTAATCCCAGCACTTTGGGAGGCCGAGACGGGCGGATCATGAGGTCAGGAGATCGAGACCATCCTGGCTAACACAGTGAAACCCCGTCTCTACTAAAAAATACAAAAAAAAAAACTAGCCGGGCGAGGTGGCGGGCGCCTGTAGTCCCAGCTACTCAGGAGGCTGAGGCAGGAGAATGGCGTAAACCCGGGAGGCGGAGCTTGCAGTGAGCCGAGATCCGGCCACTGTGCTCCAGCCTGGGCGACAGAGCAAGACTCTGTCTCAAAAAAAAAAAAAAAAAAAAAAAGTGTTAAGAAGCCCTATGTCAATATTATCTTTCTCCATAACAGGTATAGCTGGGCCGTCTTGTAGAGCATGTGGTCTGTTCATGTTCAGACAGGGCAGAAAACCTACACATTGCTGGACAGTGTTAGAAATGCAAGTGCAATGACTTGTTAATGAATATCAAATCAGTGATAAAGAAACCCATTATGATATACTTCTCATTGTTCACAGAGGTCTTATGGGAGAGAGACTCTTAGAAAGTAAAAAAGATCATCAGCATGGAGAAGTTTTGACCCAGGTTCCAGATGACATACTGAAGAAGAAAACTCCTCCTCGAGTAAAATCACGTGGAGAAGTCAGCATGGGTCATGCATCCCTTAATAGGCACCACAGAGCTGACACTGGACACAAGACATATGAGTATCAGGAATATGGACAGAAGCCATATAAATGTACATACTGTAAGAAAGCCTTCAGTGATCTCCCCTACTTTCGAACACATGAATGGGCTCACACTGGAGGGAAACCTTATGATTGTGAGGAATGTGGAAAAAGCTTTATTTCCCGTTCAAGCATTCGAAGACACAGGATAATGCACAGTGGAGATGGACCCTATAAATGTAACTTTTGTGGAAAAGCCTTGATGTGTCTCAGTTTGTATCTTATCCATAAACGAACTCACACTGGAGAGAAACCATATGAATGTAAACAGTGTGGGAAAGCCTTTAGTCATTCTGGTAGCCTTCGAATACATGAAAGAACTCACACTGGGGAGAAGCCTTATGAATGCAATGAATGTGGTAAAGCATTCCACAGTTCCACATGCCTCCATGCACATAAAATAACTCACACTGGGGAGAAGCCATATGAATGTAAACAGTGTGGGAAAGCGTTTGTTTCTTTCAATTCCGTTCGATATCATGAAAGGACTCACACTGGAGAGAAGCCCTATGAATGTAAGCAATGTGGAAAAGCCTTCAGATCTGCCTCACACCTTCGAACACATGGAAGGACTCACACTGGAGAGAAACCCTATGCATGTAAACAATGTGGGAAAGCCTTTGGATGTGCCTCGAGCCTTAAAATCCATGAAAGGACTCACACTGGAGAAAAACCCTGCAGTTCCAACACTTTGAAAGGCCAAGGCGAGAAGATCGCTTAATTCACATAGGATTCCTTGAAGCTACTGAATCCAATCATGGTAAAAATGTGTTTCCCTCAAATCATGGGAAGTATCGCAAAATTATTCTGAAGCTTCTGCAGTCACTGTCATCTGACAGCATTCAGAAATAAATGCCAGTAGCCCGGGAGCAAAAAGTTTTTGGGGTTGTTTAGCTGAGGCCTCACTCAGAGACCTAGGACACAGAGTTGGAAATAACTCTTAAGAGAGACACACCTCCAGTAAGACCTTAAGACAGTTCTGTCATAAAAAAAAATATAAGAGGCCAGGCGCGGTGGCTCAAGCCTGTAATCCCAGCACTTTGGGAGGCCGAGACGGGCGGATCACGAGGTCAGGAGATCGAGACCATCCTGGCTAACACGGTGAAACCCCGTCTCTACTAAAAAATACAAAAAACTAGCCAGGCGAGGTGGCGGGCACCTGTAGTCCCAGCTACTCAGGAGGCTGAGACAGGAGAATGGCCCGAACCCGGGAGGCGGAGCTTGCAGTGAGCTGAGATCTGGCCACTGCACTCCAGCCTGGGCGACAGAGCGAGACTCCGTCTCAAAAAAAAAAAAAAAAAAAAAAAAAAAGTACAAAAAACCAGCTGGGCGAGGTGGCGGGCGCCTGTAGTCCCAGCTACTCGGGAGGCTGAGGCAGGAGAATGGCGTAAACCCGGGAGGCGGAGCTTGTAGTGAGCTGAGATCTGGCCACTGCACTCCAGCCTGGGTGACAGAGCGAGACTCCGTCTCAAAAAAAAAAAAAAAAAAAAAAAAAATATAAGGTTTGGCTGGCACAGTGGCTCAAGCCTATAATCCCAGCACTTTGGGAGGCTGAGGTGGGCAGACCACAAGGTCAGGAGTTTGAGACCAGCCTGGCCAATGTGGTGAAACCCCATCTCTACTAAAAAATACAAAAATTAGCCAGGTGTGGTGGCACGCGCCTGTAGTCCCAGCTACTCAGGAGGCTGAGGCAGGAAAATCGCTTGAACACAGGAGGCAGAGATTGCAGTGAGCTGATTGTGCCACTGCACTCCAGCCTGGGTGACAGTGAGATTCCGTCTCAAAATAATAATAATAAGGTTAGCCCAGCAAAGTGGCAGGTGTATATATACAGAAAAGTCAGAAAAATCTGTTCCTTCCTGTTGAAAGCACAATACTTAAGTGGTAAGGCCTCATTTTAAGAAACTCACTGAAGGGATAACAGAAGTGCCATTGTCAGACTCACTGCCTCAGAAAGACCTTTATCAAAACAAAAGGCTAAAGTTCCTATTCAAAAATATCCTATAATAAATGGCTGGCTGTTGGGTACACTATGTATTTTATGCCATTCCTTCTCATGAGTTTTCTTTCTTTCTTTCTTTCTTTCTTTCTTTTTTTTTTTGAGATGGAGTCTGGTTCTATCACCCAGACTGGAGTGCAGTGGCACTTTCTCAGACCACTGCAACCTCTGCCTCCCGAGTAGCTGACTTTACAGGCATGAGCCACCATGCCCAGCCTCTAACCTCTCTTTTTTTTTTTTTTTTTTTTTTTTTTTTTTTTTGAGACAGAGTCTTACTCTGTTGCCCAGGCTGGAGTGTGGTGGTGCGATCTTGGCTCAGTGCAACTTCCACCTCCTGGCTTCCCAGGTAGTTGGGATTACGGGCACCCACCACCATGCCAGGCTAATTTTTTATATTTTTAGTAGAGACAGGATTTCACCGTGTTGGTCTGGTTGGTCTTAAACTCCTGACCTCAAGTGATCCGCATCAGGGTCTCCCAAAGTGCTGGGATTACAGGTGTGAGCCACTGCATCCGGCCTTTTAATCTTTTTCCCGACTTTTAATCTTTTTTTTTTTTTTTGAGACAGAGTCTCACTCCAGGCTGAAGTGCAGTGGTGTGCTCTCGGCTCACTGCAGCCCCCACCTCCCAGTTTCAAGTGATTCTGCTGTCTCAGCCTCCTGAGTAGCTGGGACTACAGGCGTTTGTGCCACCACACCCGGCTAATTTTTGTATTTTTAGTAGAGACAGGGTTTCACCATGTTGACCAGGCTGGTTTTGAACTTCTGACCTCAGGTGATCCACCTGCCTTGGCCTCCTAAAGTGCTGGAATTATAGGCATGAGCCACTGCGCCTGGCCATTTTTGTATTTTTTAGTAGAGATGGGTTTCTCCATGTTGGCCAAGCTGGTCTTGAACTCCTGACCTCAAGTGATCCATCTGCCTCAGCCTCCCAAAGTGCTGGGATTATAGGTGTGAGCTACTGCACCAGGCCTAATCTCTCTCTCTCTCTTTCTTTTTCTTTTTTTTTTTTTCTTTTCTTTTTTTGAGACCGAGTCTTGCTCTGTGGCCAGGCTGGAGTGCAGTGGCCCAATCTCAGCTCACTACAACCTCCACCTCCCAGGTTCAAGCGATTCTCCTGCCTCAGCCTCCTGAGTAGCTAGGACTACAGGCATTTGCCACCATGCCCAGCTAATTTTTGTATTTTTAGTAGAGATAGGGTTTCACCATGTTGGCCAGGATGGTCTTGAACTCTTGACCTCATGATATGCCCGCCTCAGGCTCCCAAAGTGCTGGGATTATAGGCATGAGCCACCATGCCTGGCCCTAATCTCTTTTCAAAGTACTTTTTTCTTTAATGAATGTCGTAAATCAAAACCTTTTTTTCTAATGACAAACATTTTCTCTTTTTTATTGTATTTAATTTTTTTTAGAGACTTGGTCTTGTTGTGTGCACCCAGCTGGAGTGCAGTGGTATTCACAGGTGTGATCTTAGTGCACTAGAGCTTCATATTCCTGGGCTCAACAATCCTTCTACCTCAGCCTGCCAAGTAGCTATCACTACAGGTGCCAGCTGCTGTACCTGGCTTCCACTTTTTTTTTTTTTTCCTTTAATCAGCTCCTTTTAAAGACCAAAGAAAACCTGTCCTCTTGTGTGGCCTAAGTTAATCTGTGAACATTATTCACTATGACCCAGAAAATCCCACAAACTCGTGCATGTTAGAAGGATGAAACCCTCATGTTCACTGTAAGAACTGTGAAGGTGCTCAGGCCATCACAGGTATGCTTATATGAAAAGCCACCAAGTATCTGAAATATTTTCTTTTACAGAAATTATGTATACCATTTCAGTCTTAGAAAATGGAGTTGGTAGCTGTACCCAAGACAAACACGGGTTGAACTCACCAGTTGTCCAAAAAAGGTACTGAAATTTGCTTACAAGTACAGAGTTATGCCGAACTTAAGGGTATAGATGTAGATTCCCTGGTTGTTGAGTACATCCAGGGAACAAGGCACCCATAATGTACCACCTGACTTAACAGAACTCATGGGCAGATGAACCCATCCACAAATTCTCCTGCCACATCCAGATGATGCTTAGTGAAAAGAAACACATTGTTCCAAAAGCAGAAGAGGAGGCCGCATGGAAGAAAAAGATACCCCAGAAGAAACATAAGAGACAAATTCAGCCAAAATGCGAATAAAAGTTCAAAACAAAAAAACCAACTCTAAAATTCATAAAACACAAAATATCATACTCTCTTAAATATGCCTCTATGATATCTCTCTGATAAAAGTTGGCTGTACTAGAGAAAATGAAAATAGGTGTTGGTGACTGGCAGATTCTGGGTCTATGATGAATCAGAGAAGGATGGTTTTCACTGTTTTACATTTTTTTAATGCCTGATGTTGACTTGGTAGAAAGATGATAATAAAGAGATTCTTCTGTCTATGTGTTTTAGATTACTCATGTTGACTGAAGAAAAAAAATTAAATTTGTTAAAGAAAGTGAGTTTGATTTAGGATTGACTGAGGACAATAGCCTGGAAGCAGTTCTGACAGACGGCTGCTATGCAGTATTTTAGTTTACAGTTTATAAGAGACAAGTGGGCCCTGTGCTATATCTTGTTTTTTCTTCAAAGCATATTTCTGGAGAGTGCAGAGTCCCAGAGTCAGGAATGTTACAAAGTCAGGCTGGAAACCAGAAATAAGTAACATGACTAAACATTTGTATGTTTTTTTGTTTTGTTCTGAGACGGAGTCTCACTCCATTGCCCAGGCTGGAGTGCAGTGGTGCAATCTCGGCTCTACTGGAACCTCAGCCTCTTTGATACAAACGATTCTAATGCCTCAGCCTCCCAAGTGGCTGGGATTACAGGTATGCACTACCACACCCGGCTAATTTTTGTATTTTTAGTAGAAATGGGATTTCACCATGTTGGCCACGCTGGTCTCCAACTCCTGATGTCAGGTGATCCACCCACCTTGGCCTCCCAAAGTGCTGGGATTACAGGCTTGAGCCACAGCGCCCGGCCACTACTGCCTCACTGTCATGCAGTTAAATAATCTTAGACGCTTCCTCCTCGACTTTATACATACACACCGGAGGAGGGCTCTGCTCCTGTGTTATTCTCGCAGTGGGGTTGAGGATGTTTGTCTCATGGAAACTGGTGATGTGAGAAGCAGGTGAATAGCCTGCAGGGGGCAGCAGAGACCAACGCCAGGGACTGGACGCTGAGGCCAGTATGGATCCTGCCAAGGAGGGATATGGATCTCTCCTGGATGCTTCCTGGCAGCCGCCCTCCTGCAGGTGGCTTGCAGCTGTTCAGAGCAGATCCAGAAAGAGTGTGGGTTCTGACACGCTGCAGCGCCCTGGAAAGCAGGAGACCCACGTGCAGGTGCACTTCAGGGGTTTTGTCTTTCTGCGGCTGTATATCTGGAATCTGGGGCCGTTTTCAGGAGCAGTGCTTTGGGTTTGACATGCAAAGGGTCCCTGGGGTCAGACTAATTTGCATATCTGAAGAAAATCTGTGAAGATCAAGTTCAGGGAAAGAACTGTTTGGGACCTCTCCTGGAGAAGGGGCTTATGAAGTTGACAGTTTATTTAGGTCAGAAGCTTAAAATCACCAAGTGAGAGTTTTCTGCCGATGAAGATGAAGGTCTGGAAGGAGGGAGCGTTTCCACACTGTGAGGTGGGGTGAGATATGTGAAAGCCTTGGCCATGTCTCATCCCTAATTCCGGGCCCCTGAAGGACAACTGCCCCTCCTTCCTGGTGCAGTCGTGTCTGGCCTAGTCTGGGCACCCCTTCCTGCTCTGAGGTCAGCAGATCGCTCCATTGGACACTGAGTCTGGAATTCCCTGCACACACTTAGGACTCTGTGCAGGACGAGGAAGCACTGACAGCCCATTTAATGAGGAAGAAGACAGTGCCCTGTCTAAAAATCAGGAGCAAATTTGGCTGAAAAAATATCCAATGATCAGGGCTCGAGGAGGGAGTTGTCCCTTAAAGAGAAGCTATGGCTAGAACTGATCAGTCGGGCTCCGCAGGGCCCGTTACCCAGGGCTTGTGCCGTCACTCAGTTCTGAGGGGGCGGGGCCTTGCACCTTGCCCAATCAGAAGCGCTGGGGCCGGGCCTGGCCAACTGTCCATCCGGAAGGAGGAGGCCCATTCCGGCTTCCACTTTTGATGCTATGCAGATTGTTGTCGGGATACTAGATTTCCTACTCGGAGAGGCCCGGGTCCCTTCGCCACTTCTGTCTCTCTGCCGCCTGCACTGTGACCTGCACTATTCACGGGAGCCCTAGAGAGGACCCCGGGACACCCGGAAGCCGGGAAATGGTGAGTGTGTGGGGCCGGAGTCCCCAGACGGGGGAGGGGCTGGGTGAAACCGGCCTGAAGCGGATGTGGCGGGACCCGGGTCTCCTCATGGGGCCTCCTGCATCTGGGACCCGAATCCCTCTGTCTCAGCCTGTCCCTCCGTCCCCTGGGCCGCAGGGTGCGGCTGGGCCGGCAGCCAGGACCCCGGGCGTCCTGTCCTGCTCCTGCGCGGGCGACTGTGGGTCCCGGCCCCGGAGCCCTCTCTGGGCAGCTCCGCGCCCACAGCCCGGGATTCTGCGGGAACCACGGGAGGGTCATGGGGGAATCCCGCGGGGTTTTTTTCTGTTAAAAGTTAAAGAGTTTGGGCCGGGCGCGGTGGCCCATGCCTGTAGTCCCGGCACTTTGGGAGGCCGAGGCGGGCGGATCACGAGGTCAGGAGATCGAGACCATCCTGGCTAACACGGTGAAACCCCGTCTCTACTAAAAATACAAAAAATTAGCCGGGTGTGGTGGCGGGCGCCTGTAGTCCCAGCTACTCGGGAGGCTGAGGCAAGAGAATCACAGGAACCCAGGAGACCGAGGTTGCAGTGATCCGAGATCGCGCCACTGCACTCCAACCTGGGCGACAGAGCGAGACTCCGTCTCCAAAAAAAAAAAAAAAAGAAAAAAAAAAAAATTAAAGAGTTTGAGCGAACAGCGATTCATGAATGAGAAACACCCAATCATGACTTTTGGTTTGTTACCAAAAAACTTTAAGAAGAATTGCATGGGCCGGGCGCGGTGGCTCAAGCCTGTAATCCCAGCACTTTGGGAGGCCGAGGCGGGCGGATCACGAGGTCAGGAGATCGAGACCATCCTGGCTAACACGGTGAAACCCCGTCTCTACTAAAAATACAAAAAGAAATTAGCCGGGCGTGGTGGCGGGCGCCTGTAGTCCCAGCTACTCTGGAGGCTGAGGCAGGAGAATGGCGTGAACCCGGGAGGCGGAGCTTGCAGTGAGCCGAGATCGCGCCACTGCACTCCAGCCTGGGCGACAGAGCAAGACTCCGTCTCAAAAAAAAAAAAAAAAGAAGAATTGCATTTTGTTAAGGGTAGAGGGTGTCCAGGTTCTTGGCGTCTTGAACAAAGAATTGGACAAAACGCATAAAACAAGGAAGGAATGAAGGGATTTAACACTCCACAGTGTGCGAGCAGGGCTGAGCACAGGGGCTCAAAGGCCACGTTACAGAATTTTGGGGAGTTTACCCCCTGGAGGATTCCATTGGTTACCTGGGGTATGCCCTATGTCAAAGGAGAGGATGAAGTAAAGTTATAAAATCATTTACTGGCCGGGCGCGGTGGCTCAAGCCTGTAATCCCAGCACTTTGGGAGGCCGAGACGGGCAGATCACGAGGTCAGGAGATCGAGACCATCCTGGCTAACACGGTGAAACCCCGTCTCTACTAAAAAATACAAAAACCTAGCCGGGCAAGGTGGCAGGCGCCTGTAGTCCCAGCTGCTCCGGAGGCTGAGGCAGGAGAATGGTATAAACCCGGGAGGCGGAGCTTGCAGTGAGCTGAGATCCAGCCACTGCACTCCAGCCTGGCCAACAGAGCGAGACTCCGTCTCAAAAAAAAAAAAAAAAAAAAAAATCATTTACTTGGCTTAAGCCCTATGGAGTGGGTATTTCCTTTCATAGCTGAAGTGTGAATAGGCCTTATGTTCCCTGCCTGCAGACCCTATTTTCCTGCCTCAACTTGAGTTTGATTTTGGTGTCCTTAGGTAATTACTTATGGCACTAAACATACTTCAATCTAATTGCTGCTGCTTTAAATTTGTTCACACTACCTATAGGGACTGGCTTCCTCCTGCATTTTCCTAATCTATGGGATGCAGGGTCTCAAATCCTTCACCCTGCTACCCCACTTAACTCTTCAGTGGTTTGCAGTAACATCTTAAATGTTCAGTTACTTTCCTGCATCTCCACAAATTAACTCCCCTTCTCCAACTCACAGTATTATCAACTTTCTTTTTTATTTTTTTGAGACAGAGTTTCACTCTTGTTGCCCAGGCTGGAATGCAATGGCACCATCTCGCCTCATTGCAACCTCCGCCTCCTGGGTTCAAGCGATTCTCCTGCCTTAGCCTCCTGTATCAACTTTCTTTATTGTATAGTATATTTCTTCATCCTTTCTTTCACATAGATGCAGTATTTTAGTGGTTTGTCATCTTTTCACAAGGTCATGGATGACTCTTTTTAAAATATTTGTGTTCTGTTTCTGAACATTTCACATTAACAGGAAAATAGAGAATAACAACTTGATACTCCAGTGAAAAACCCCTGTTCCTCTCCTCTTATCTTGTAAGGCACAGACACCATCTCAGAATGTCTTTGGGTTGTTTCCTTTTTTGTTTTTTTTTTTGTTTTTTTTTTTTTGAGACAGAGTCTCGCTCTGTCGCCTAGGCTGGAGTGAAGTGGCGCGGTCTTGGCTCACTGCAACCTCCGCTTCCCAGGTTCAGGTGATTCTCCTGCCCTCAGCCTCCCGAGCAGCTGGGTTTACTGGTATGCGCCACCACAGCCGGCTAATTTTTTTATATTTTTAGTAGAGATGGGTTTTCACCATGTTGGTCAGGCTGGTCTTGAACTCCTGACCTCAAATGATCTGCTTGACTCAGCCTTCCAAAGTGCTGGGATTACAGGCGTGAGCCACCACGCCTGGCCTGTTTCCTTTTTGAAAACTTTACAGGGTGATGTGTCTTCAGGAGTCCCAATCTATCTTTTCCTGGTCCTGGGTTTCAGAACCATCTGGGGCTGAGCCAAAATGCCCACAGCTTCCATCCCTCCTGGCCTATTGAATATCAGCCCCTAGGTCAATCCCTCCAGAGGAGGGTGTGGGGCCTCCCAAAGGAGCAGCTGAATTTCCCAAATGGGAGGAGACTCCTGGTACACTCTTCATCTAGATAGCCAACCCCTTGGGATGCTCAGTTTTTCTCCCCCAGTCCCAGCTGCCATTACTTGGAGACACATAGCTGGTCAGCCAGTTGGATGTTGCTATTAAGAGAGAGGTGTAAGTTAGGTGAGTCACAGCAGAGTCATCTCAACAAAGCCATGACATAACAGTGCATTCCTCACAATCCCAGAGAGATGAGGGCAGCATGCCTTGCAGGGCAACACAGAGTGAGGGGAACATCCAGGATGCAGATTCAGCCAGCATGTGGGGAGAAAGACAGACAGGGACCTTTGGGCCAGAGTTTTTCTTGGGGTCCAAGGAGGTTTCTCTCAGGGAGTTGTTTCTGGTAGATTTAGAGCAAGCAGGCGCTAGTTCTGTGAAGTCAGGCTCTGATTAAGAAGTGGTCTAAGGCCGGGCGCAGTGGCTCAAGCCTGTAATCCCAGCACTTTGGGAGGCCGAGACGGGTGGATCATGAAGTCAGGAGATCGAGACCAGGAGATCGAGACCATCCTGGCGAACACAGTGAAACCCCGTCTCTACTAAAACTACAAAAAACTAGCCGGGCGAGGTGGCGGCGCCTGTAGTCCCAGCTACTCGGGAGGCTGAGGCAGGAGAATGGCGTAAACCCGGGAGGCGGAGCTTGCAGTGAGCTGAGTTTCGGCCACTGCACTCCAGCCTGGGCGACAGAGCGAGACTCCGTCTCAAAAAAAAAAAAAAAAAAAAAAGAAGTGGTCTATGCCAGCCGGGCGCGGTGGCTCAAGCCTGTAATCCCAGCACTTTGGGAGGCCGAGACGGGCGGATCACGAGGTCAGGAGATCGAGACCATCCTGGCGAACATGGTGAAACCCCGTCTCTACTAAAAAAAAAAAATACAAAAAACTAGCCGGGCAAGGTGGCGGGTGCCTGTAGTCCCAGCTACTCGGGAGGCTGAGGCAGGAGAATGGCGTGAACCCGGGAGGCAGAGCTTGCAGTGAGCTGAGATCTGGCCACTGCACTCCAGCTCGGGAGAGAGAGCGAGACTCCGTCTCAAAAAAAAAAAAAAAAAAAGAAGTGGTCTATGCCATCCATGTGGTTGTAAGGGTAAGTGGGGCAAGTCAAGTTGATGTATGAAGCTGTTCCACAGTGAGGTGGTCACCAGGAGGCAGCCATGTAAGTCACATATGTATGTGGGTTAAGCACATGCAGGAACTGGGAGGAGGTGGAGAACTGGGAACTGTTGAGGTCAAGTGCAGCTTTCTTTTTCTTCTTCTTCTTCTTTTTTTTTTCTGAGACAGAGTCTTCCTTTGTCGCCCAGACTGGAGTGAAGTGGCACTCTCTCAGCTCACTGCAACCGCCGCTTCCCGGGTTCAAGCGATTCTCCTGCCTCAGCCTCCCGAGTAGCTAGGATTACAGGCACGCACACACCCGGCTAATTTTTGTACTTTTTAGTAGAGAGGGAGTTTCACCATATTCGCCAGACTCTTTACCAGACTTTTCACCTGAAGTGATCGGCCTGCCTTGGCCTCCCAAAGTGCTGGGATTATAGGTGTGAGCCACTACACCCGACTTGAGTGTAGGTTTCTTCCGTTATAAGAAAGTGAAACCCATAATGAAAATGCATGGTAAGGTAACATAAGAACTCACGGTAACAGGCAACTCTAGAAGTAATTCATGTGGAGATGATGGGCCAAAGATTGTTTGTTCTCCTGTAGATAACCATCTGTCCTTGTCCCTGTTAAGTGAGGACCACTTGCATAATTGGCTGGTGATACCTGCTTTGTCATGGTTTCACTGTTTTCAGAATCTGCTGTTTTCTATTAGTCTATCTTTCTATCTGTTAATACCATTTTCTCTTGATTAGTATAGATTTTATTTATTTTATTTTATTATTATTTTTTTTCAAGACAGAGTTTCGCTCTTGTTGCCCAGGCTGTAGTGCAATGGTGCAATCTCAGCTCACTGCAACCTCCACCTCCCGGGTTCAAGTGATTCTCCTGCCTCAGCCTCCCAAGTAGCTGGGATTACAGGCATGTGCCACCATGCCCAGCTAACTGTGTTTTGTTGTTTTTTTTTTAATAGAGACAGGGTTTCTCCATGTTGGTCAGGTTGGTCTCGAACTCCCGACCTCAGGTGATCCACCCGCCTTGGCCTCCTAAAGTGCTGGGATTACAGGTGAGCCACTGCGCCTGGCCTATTCATTTTATTATTATTATTTTTTGAGATGGAGTCTTGCTTTGTTGCCTAGGCTAGAGTGCGGTGACGCAGTCTCGGCCCACTGCAACCTCTACCTCCTGGGTTCAAGCCCTTCTCCTACCTCAGCGTCCCAAGTAGCTGGGACTACAGGCGCCCACCACCATGCCTGGCTGATTTTTATATTTTTAGTAGAGACGGGGTTTCTCTATGTTGGCCAGGCTGGTCTCAAACTCCTGACCTCAGGTGATCTGCCTGCCTCAGCCTCCCAGAGTGCTGGGATTACAGGCGTGAGCCACCACGCCTGGCCGAAGACCCTCTCTCTTAACAAAAAAAGGCTTGGTTTGTGGGAGAACATGAGTATAGACAGAAAGTAAGAGTTGTGATGACCAAGTCATGGGATAAATGTTTGGAGTCCACAGTATCATGGGAACTTCTTAGGAATAAAGAATAAGCCTCCAGGGCTGTTAGTCTTACCTGTCCTCCTTTACATGTGTGAGATGTTTCAGGATTCTGTGGCCTTCGAGGATGTGGCTGTGAGCTTCACCCAGGATGAGTGGGCTTTGCTGGATCCTTCCCAGAAGAATCTCTACAGGGATGTTATGCAGGAAACCTTCAAGAACCTGACCTCTGTAGGTAAGAATGACAATATTACTTCCCAGTGAATTAGAGAACAAATGTTTCTAGCTCATCAATGCTGTTCATTGATTTGGAACATGGACAGAAAATACTTTGATGAATAAATCAGACATGGCTACCATGTACCATGAATACAGAATCTAATTATTTTAAAATAAATTCATACTAATTCTGGATCTGTGTTTTCTCTGGGTCTGTGTTTTAGGAAAAACATGGAAAATTCAGAACATGGAAGATAAGTACAAAAATCCCAGGAGAAATCTAAGGTAATTTTGTCTCACAAGACAAGACAATGCCTCTAGAAAATCTTAAAATGTGAGAAAATATTAAAAAGAAGCAAAAGAGCCGGGTGCGGTGGCTCACACCTGTAATCCCAGCACTTTGGGAGGCCAAGGCAGGTGGATCACGAGGTCAGGAGATCGAGACCATCCTGGCTAACACGGTGAAACCCCGCCTCTACTAAAAATACAAAAATTGCCGGGCGCAGTGGCTCAAGCCTGTAATCCCAGCACTTTGGGAGGCCGAGACGAGCGGATCATGAGGTCACAAGATCAAGACCAACCTGGCTAACACGGCGAAACCCCGTCTCTACTAAAACTACAAAAAACTAGCCGGGCGAGGTGGCGGGCGCCTGTAGTCCCAGCTACTCGGGAGGCTGAGGCAGGAGAATGGCGTGAACCTGGGAGGCGGAGCTTGCAGTGAGCTGAGATCCAGCCACTGCACTCCAGCCTGGGCGACAGAGCAAGACTCCGTCTCAAAAATAAATAAATAAATAAAAAATAAAAATAAAAATACAAATACAAAAATTACCCAGGCGTGGTGGCAGGCGCCTGTAGTCCCAGGTACTCGGGAGGCTGAGGCAGGAGAATGGCGTGAACCCAGGAGGCGGAGCTTGCAGTGAGCCGAGATCACGCCACTGTACTCAAGCCTGGGCGATAGAGTGAGACTCCATCTCAAAAAAAAAAAAAAAAAGCAAAAGAAATAAACCCAGTATCAAATTTATGTATTCATAGAAAGTTTTCCTAAAAACATATGTTTAAATGTAACATAGGCTGGGCTGGGCACTGTTGCTCATACCCAAAATCCCAGTCCTTTGGGGCGTTCAGACCAAAGGATTGCTGGAGGCCAGGAGGTTGAGGCTGCAGTGAGCCATGATGGTATCACTGCACTCCAATTTGGACAACAGGGTGAGTTGTGACCCCAGCTCAAAAAAAAAGACACACATGTTTAGTATTTGTAAAATAGTTTACTTGAAGATAGGATTATGAAGCCCCATAGAAAAACTAATTTTTAAAATATATACCCAGACCATCTTGCAGAGCATATGGTTCATTAATATTCAAACAATTCAGACAGAGCAGAAAGCTGACACTTTGCCGGGCAGTGTTAAAAATGCAAGTGCAATACTTGTTAATGAATATAAATCATGATTTTTTTCTTCTTTTTTTTTTTTTTTGAGACGGATCCCCACTGGAGAGTCCTCCGCACTGCTCGTCCTCCGCCAGGCTGGAGTGGGACAGGCGTGGGTTTTTTTTTTTGTAGAGGTTTCAGGTCTCACTGCCAGCCTGGCCTCCAATGCTGGATCGGGTTTTTTCTTTTTTGAGAGTCTCGCTTGTTCCAGCTGTGAGTGTGTGGTTTCAGCTCACTGCAGCTGCCACTGCTTGGGTTCGAGGTATTCTTGTGCCTTAGTATCCCAAGTAGTTGGGATTACAAGCGCATGCCATCACACCCAGCCAATTTTTGTATTTTTAGTAGAGACAGGGTTTTGCCATGTTGGCCAGGATGATCTCAAACTCCTGGCCTCAAGCCATCTGCCCGCCTCAGCCTCCCATAGTGCTGGGATTACAGGTGTGACACACTGCACCCAGCCAATATAGATCGCTTTTTTTTTTTTTTTTTGAGACAGAGTTTTGCGCTTGTCACCCAGGCTGGAGCACAATGGCACTATCTCAGCTCACTGCAACCTCTGTCTCTGGGGTTCAAGCAATTCTCCCACCTCAGCCTCCCGAGTAACTGGGATTACAGGCACCTGCCACCGTGCCCGGCTAATTTTTACATTTTTAGTAGAGACGGGGTTTCACCATGTTGGCCAGGATGGTCTCGAACTCATGACCTCAGGTGATCCGCCCACCTCAGCCTCTCAAAGGCGTGAGCCACTGTGCCCGGCCCTATACGTCACTTTTAATCAAACCGTTAATAATATGCTTCTTATTTTTCACTGAAGTCTTATGAGAGAGAAACTCTTTGAAAGCAAAGAAAGTCATCACTGTGGAGAAAGCTTCAACCAGATTGCAGATGACATGCTGAACAAGAAAACTCTTCCTGAAGTAATACCGTGTGAAAGCAGTGTGTGTGGAGAAGTTGGCATGGGTCACTCATCTCTTAATAGGCACATCAGAGCTGACACTGGACACAAGTCTTCTGAGTATCAGGAATATGGAGAGAATCCATATAGAAATAAGGAATGTAAGAAAGCCTTCAGTTATCTTGACTCCTTTCAATCACATGATGAAGCTTGCACTAAAGAGAAACCCTATGATGGTAAAGAATGTGCGGAAACCTTCATTTCCCATTCATGCATTCAAAGACACAAGGTGATGCACCGTGAAGATGGACCTTATAAATGTAAGTTTTGTGGGAACACTTTCTTTTTTCTCAGTTTATGTCTTATCCATGAACGAATTCACACTGCTGTGAAACCATATGAGTGTAAACAGTGTGGTAAGGCCTTTACTCGTTCCACTACCCTTCCAATACATGAAAGAACTCACACAGAAGTGAAAGCCGATGCATGTAAGGAATGTGGGAATGCATTCAGTTTTCCTAGTGAAATTCGTAGACATAAAAGGTCTCACGCTGGAGAAAAACCCTATGAGTGTAAGCAATGTGGGAAAGTCTTCATTTCTTTCAGTTCCATTCAGTATCATAAGATGACTCACACTGGAGAGAAACCCTATGAATGTAAGCAATGTGGGAAAGCCTTTAGATGTGGCTCACACCTTCAAAAGCATGGAAGGACTCACACTGGAGAGAAACCCTATGAATGTAGGCAATGTGGTAAAGCCTTCAGATGTACCTCGGACCTTCAAAGGCATGAAAAGACACACACTGGTGATAAACCCTATGGATGTAAGCAGTGCGGTAGAGGCTTTAGATGTGCTTCACAACTTCAAATTCATGAAAGGATGCACAGTGGAGAGAAGCCCCATGAATGTAAGGAATGTGGAAAAGTATTCAAGTATTTTTCTTCCTTGCATATACATGAAAGGACGCACACTGGAGAGAAGCCCCATGAATGTAAGCAATGCGGAAAAGCATTCAGGTATTTCTCTTCCTTGCATATACATGAAAGGACACACACTGGAGATAAGCCATATGTGTGTAAGGTCTGTGGCAAAGCCTTCACTTGTTCCAGTTCCATTCGATATCATGAAAGGACTCACACTGGAGAGAAACCCTATCAATGTAAGCACTGTGGTAAGGCCTTTATTTCCAATTACATTCGATATCATGAAAGGACTCACACTGGAGAGAAACCCTATCAATGCAAGCACTGTGGCAAAGCCTTTATTCGTGCCAGTTCATGTCGAGAACATGAAAGAACTCATACCATTAATATATGAGAAATCATGTTAGTGGAAGAAATAGGAGAAGCTTTCTGTTGTCCCACTGCCTTTGAAACACGAGAAAAGAGAGTGGTGAAAGGACCTCTGGATAACTGCCTTTTGAATTGAGAAGAGAGACCTGCAAAAGGACAATAACATCTAGAAGGACTTGGATGGTTCCGTAATACAATTCACCTATAGCCAATCTTGCATGAGATTTCAAAGGCACAGAAAAGGAAGGCATCAGTCACATATTAGAGGCACCACACAGGGAGAGAGGTGTGTGGCTACCTGCTTCCAGCCCATTTTCCTGATTCTTTCACTTGTTAATCGAGAGTATCCCCCAAATCACTTGTCTCTGTTCCTCAGAGCTATAGGTCTCCAGAGATGTCCCCAGGTGCTCCACATTAAAGATACATGCCCACTTTGCTATTTCTTCAGAAATGTTAAAATGGGCCGGGCGCGGTGGCTCAAGCCTGTAATCCCAGCACTTTGGGAGGCCGAGATGGGCGGATCACGAGGTCAGGAGATCGAGACCATCCTGGCTAACATGGTGAAACCCCGTCTCTACTAAAAATACAAAAAACTAGTCGGGCAAGGTGGCGGGCGCCTGTAGTCCCAGCTACTCCGGAGGCTGAGGCAGGAGAATGGCGCAAACCCGGGAGGCGGAGCTTGCAGTGAGCTGAGATCCGGCCACTGCACTCCAGCCCGGGCTACAGAGCAAGACTCCGTCTCAAAAAAAAAATAAATAAATAAATAAATAAAAATAAAAAAAGAAATGTTAAAATGTTTACCAGAGAACTAATAAATGTTGTTATGGCTGGAAATACTCCCTGATGCCCAACTCCTCTATAGATTGAGTTGGTTTAAGAGGTCTACTTTGTGTTGCAAGCATTGCTGTTTCTACGGATAGTGACCTTGTTCTTGATTAAACCAACTAGATGGGAGCTTGTTCCTCTGCTGCATTGTGCAGTGATTGGTCTCACCAAGGGCTTTTATGTGAGAAGAGCCACCTTGCTCTTATCAGGAAACTTCAAGCGTTTGCTGTTATTCACAACTGAATGTAATGTCTCACTTCATTTTTAACTTTGTATACCTGACTAAAAACACTAATGTGGTTTCCTGGCAACAAAGACTTTTGTTCATGTATTTTAGAAATAAGCTTATTGGCCGGGCGCGGTGGCTCATGCCTGTAATCCCTGCACTTTGGGAGGCCGACGTGGGCGGATCACGAGGTCAGGAGATCGAGACCATCCTGGCTAACAGAGTGAAACCCCGTCTCTACTAAAAATACAAAAAAAACTAGCCGGGCGTGGTGGCGGGCACCTATAGTCCCAGCTACTCGGGAGGCTGAGGCAGCAGAATGGCGTGAACCCAGGAGGCGGAGCTTGCAGTGAGCTGAGATCGCGCCACTGCAGTCCAGCCTGGGTGACAGAGTGAGACTTCATCTCAAAAAAAAAAAAAAAATCACCTTGAGTCCTATGGTGCCAATATGTTTTTGAAAACTGAATTTCCTGTCCAGTAAGGAACGAAGACAGCATCACTATTCCAATCAAGTCTTTCTTTCTCTGATAATATGCTGTTGATGCAAAGTTGTCAGGAACCCCCTTATGCTGATACTGTGAAGCTAATGACATCATGGAAAAGTCATGCATGGAACAATCCAATCATTTCCTTTAAGGCGTCATGGGTGCTTCTCTTCACAAAAGCTTATTTGAGTCTCCCTAAAGTAAAAATCCCAGGTCCCAGCAGACATAGAAGCAATCACTGACTGACCAAACCTTAACTATGTGTGATGATATATGGAAAATACCTTGATTTGTGAGACATGACTTTTTTTTTTTTTTTGAGACAGTCTCACTCTGTCACCCAGGCTGGAGGACAGTGGTGTGATCTTGGCTCACCGCAACCTCTGCCTCCTGGGGTCAAGTGATTCTCCTGCCTCAGCCTCCCAAGTAGCTGGAATCACAGGCACCCACCACCACACCTGGCTAATTTTTTTCTTTTGAGATGGAGTCTTGCTCTGTTGCCCAGGCTGGAGTGCAGTGGTGTGATCTCAGCTCACTGCAAGCTCCACCTCCCAGGTTCACGTCATTCTCCTGCCTCAGCCTCCCGAGTAGCTGGGACTACAGGTGCCCACCACCACGCCCGGCTAATTTTTTTTGTATTTTTAGTAGAGACGGGGTCTCACTGTGTTAGCCAGGATAGTCTCCATCTCCTGACCTCGTGATCTGCCTGCCTCGGCCTCCCAAAGTGCTGGGATTACAGGCTTGAGCCACCGCATCCAGCCAATTTTTTGTATTTTTAGTAGAGACAGGGTTTCACCGTGTTGGCCAGGCTGGTCTAAAACTCCTGACCTCATGTGATCCACCTGGCCTTGGCCTCCCAAAGTGCTGGGATTACAGACGTGAGCCACCATGCCTGCCCAAAAATTCTTATTTTAACTATTCATGTCTTATTTTTGCACTTTTTCACAAGGCAAGGTCAAAAAGCAAAGGAAAAAATCCTTTTAAGATCAATGTACTTAGGTTGAAAATGTGTTTTTTCTCAGGAAAAACTTGTAATTTTATAATTACAATCCTCAGTTTATTTGCAGCATCACCAAATTTTCTTAAAATTACATATTTCAAATGTGAACTTAAGATATATGTTTTTCTCATTATTTACATTTTGCTACCTATAGGCCTTTTTTTTTTTTGTGATGGAGTGTCGCTCTGTTGCCTAGGCTGAATTGCAGCGGCACGACCTCAGCTCACTGCAACCTCTGCTTCCGGGTTCAAGTAAGTCTCATGTCACAACCTCCCAGGTAGCTGGCACTACAGACGAGCATCACCATGCCCAGTTAATTTTTGTGTTTTTTGTAGAATTGGGGTTTCACCATGTTGGCCAGACTGGTCTCAAACTCCTGGCCTCAAGTGATCTGTCTGTCTGCCTCGGCCTCCCAAAGTGCTGGGATTACAGGCATGAGCCAACATGCCTGACTCCTCTAGGCCTTTTAAATCTTTTACTCATGATATTGGTCAGCCCACGGTCAAAATAATTAATAAAAGGTATACACAAAAATTCAACACCACAATGAAAGTTAAATTCATTTGTGGAGAACCACTCAAGCAACTCAGGTGTACACAGATAGACCTGTGGCAACTGGTGAACAATTAAATGGCACAGAAGTGGCTGGGTGCGGTGGCTCATGCCTGTAATCCCAGCACTTTGGGAGGCCCAGGTGGGCGGATCATGAAGTCAGGAGATTGAGACCATCCTGGACAACATGGTGAAACCCCGTCTCTACTAAAATACAAAAAAGTAACCAGGCGTGGTGGCACATGCCTGTAATCCCAGCTACTCAGGAGGCTGAGGCAGAGGAACCCCTTGAACCCGGGAGGCAGAGAGTGCAGTGAGCTGAGATTGTGCCACTGCACTCCAGCCTGGCGAAAGAACAAGACTGTGTCTCAAAATAAATAAATGGCACAGAAGTTGCAATAATGACCTCTTTTTTTTTTTTTTGAGACGGAGTCTCGCTCTGTTGCCCAGGCTGGAGTGCAGTGGCCGGATCTCGGCTCACTGCAAGCTCTGCCTCCTGGGTTTACGCCATTCTCCTGCCTCAGCCTCCCGAGTAGCTGGGACTACAGGAGCCCGCCACCTCGCCCGGTAGTTTTTTGTATTTTTTAGTAGAGACGGGGTTTCACCGTGTTAGCCAGGATGCTCTCGATCTCTTGACCTCGTGATCCGCCCGTCTCGGCCTCCCAAAGTGCTGGGATTACAGGCTTGAGCCACCGCGCCCGGCCATGTGCAGTACTCTCTTGGCAGAGATACATAAGAACTCCAACAAGGCCCTCATATGATATGCAGAACTGCCTCAAACATCATGTGACCATAGAACTTTGCCAAGGATAGTCTTTTGTTTACATCTCTGCACTGGCTTACCCAAAGATTGGACTGTGCTCATTTCTCAAGCCATTGTTTACTGAACATTCTTTGTAATGTATGAGGCAAAGACGATTGCCTAGGTGTAATTTCCTAATCACTGGGGTAGGTCTGGTTTCTGAGAGCCCAGTAGAGGAACTCAGTTCACAAAAATGGCTTCCTATAGTTTCTGCTTGATACTTCCTATTCTGCCATCTTTCCAGAATCCTCTCCCCGGACTTCATATACGAATACATCATTTCAGATCTCATTACAAATGTCACCACCTCAAGACACTGTCTTCTTTTTCCCCCCCGACCCCAACTTGAAACAAGGGCACACTCTCTCACCCATTACTCCTATTTCATTTAGTGTATAGAATCTTTTCCACACACTTGTCAGAATCTGGAACATAAGGTTCACAGGGTTGATTGCTCTCTGTTTAACAAGGTAAAAAAGTTAAGTCATGTAGGTCGGGTGCGGTGGCTCACGCCTGTTATCCCAGCATTTTGGGAGGCCAAGGCGGATGGATCACGAGGGCAGGAGATCGAGACCATCCTGGCTAACATGGTGAAACCCCGTCTCTACTAAAAATACAAAAAACATTAGCCGGGCTTGGTGGCGGGTGCCTGTAGTGCCAGCTACTCGGGAGGCTGAGGCAGGAGAATCGTTTGAACCTGGGAGGCGGAGATTGCAGTAAGCTGAGACTGCACTACTGCACTCCAGCCTGGGCAACAGAGCAAGACCTTGTCTCAAAAATAAACAAACAAACAAATAAATAAAGTACTCCAACAAAGTCCTTTGAACCATTTTCCAGAAAGGCAACGTCAGTGAAGCTCCCTCTTGTAGTGAGGGTAGCATTAACATTCACACACTGCCGTGACTGGATTTCTCAAAATTGAACAGGGATCTAAGAGTGGAAAAACTCAAAATGTTTTTCCTGTGCATTCACACAATGCAATACCTCTGTGACCAAATATGTGGAGGATTTTCTCACACAGCAAACAAGCCATCCATTCTGCACTGAACACCAGTTGAGTGTCCTCTAATTCACGTGTCCCCAACTCTGGGGCTACAGACGGGTACCTGTCCATGGCCTGTTAGGAACTAGGCCACACAGCAGGAGGTAAGCAGAAGTGAGTGAATGTTACTGCCTAAGCTCTGCCTCCTGTCAGAGCAGCAATGGTATTAGAGTTTCTTAGGGGCGAGAACCCTATTGTGAACTGCACATTTGAGAGATCTAGGTTGCGTGCTCCTTATGAGAATCTAATCCCTGATGATCTGAGGTGAAACAGTTTCATCCAAAAAACATCTCCCCACCCTCATCTGTGAAAAAATTTTCTTCCACAAAACTGGTCCCTGGTGCCAGAAAGGTTGGGGACTGCTGCTGTAATGCATTTCCCACATTACCTACCCTCATAACAAGTACAAAACTGTCTCAGAAATTATCTGACTGGACTGGGTGCGGTGGCTCACACCTGTAATCCCAGCACTTTGGGAGGCCAAGGTAGGCGATCACCAGAGG